TTTGGAAATACTTCCAGTTTTGTTTTTTGACTGCGGTTCCTATTTTTATTTAAATCTAGTCCACTTACACAGCATCTCTATTTCTTGAGATGGGTTTGTAACACACATGTTCCACAAGAGGAATAACGTGCTCATTTGTTGGAAAAAAAGCTAGATGTTTTCAAGGTTGCTTGGTTATACTCCAGTGCTTAGGACAGGAAGGAAGAAAGCAAAGACAGAATATGGTTTAGCATCTTCTTTAGGTAAACAAAGAGACTGAGATTTGCATGTATTATATACTAATGGTGCTCTGCATAAATACGACATTCACTGAGACGTGCCTTTCCCAGGCTCTGTGAAGCCTGGCTTTGCAGAACTTTAAAAGAAACAGTAACTACTACGTTATCTGCTGGGCTTGGTCTTCGATGCAGCTTTCAAGACAAGCTGGACTGTACCTGGTACACTGAAAACATGATCAATCTGAATCACCTTGTCCATCTTTTTAGACAAGCCGTTATTGGTCTAAAAACCAAGAGAGTTTTCCTTTCAGCACAGAGGTATACAATACACTTTCAGTGAAATTCAGTGAAATAGCTGCAAAGAAACACTCAGCTACTAATTCCTAGCATGTTGCAGAACCTGCCCCCCTTGCAAGAATTAGGTCCACTATGCCTGGTCCTAAGCCAAAACATACTTCAGTTAAGGGATAAGGAGAACGAAGAGGACCCGTTTTTGCTGTGTCCCACCAGGCACTTTGGGCACACATGCTGCGTAAAGCTGACAGGGTGAGGAACGCTCACTAGGCCAGCGGAGAACGTATATCGCAGCTGAAGTATCCAGAGAATTCAAAACAAATACCTTAAAAGATGATTTAATTGCAAATGGAAAATGGCAACTTTATGAAGCTTGTAATTCAGACAAATCCAGACTAGCTGTCTTGGGAGACAGTTCACAATTTCCAAAGCTATCTTCCTATTAAATTTCATATTTCTTATCTACATCTTGGAGATGCCTGGGGGTACTTAAGAGTAATCAGGAATATTTTCAATACAGTCAAAAACATTTTTCAGTAAGTCCTTCTCAAAAAAATAAATATTTAGCTTAAACTTTGACTTGAAATTGGCAGTAAACAGGAAAACTTCCATTATTAACAACTGACAGGGAACTGCTGGAGAGGGTACAGAAAAGAGCCACAAATATGATGAAGGGCCTGGAGCATCTCTCCTACAAGGAGAGGCTGAGGGACTCGTGTCTTTTTAGTCTTGAAAAGAGAAGACTTAGGGGGGATCTAATTGATGCTTACAAATACTTAAAGGGAGGGTACCAGGAGGACGGGGCTGGTCTTTTTTCAGTGGTGCCCAGTGACAGGACAAGAGGAAATGGGCACAAACTTGAGTATAAGAAGTTCCACCTAAACATGAGAAGGAACTTCTTTACTGTGAGAGTGGTAGAGCCCAGGAAGAGGCTGCCCAGGGAGGTGGTGGAGTCTCCTTCTTTGGAAACATTCAAAACCCACCTGGACACGTTCCTGTGGGACCTGCTCTGGGTGGCCCTGCTCTGGCACAGGGGTTGGACTAGATGATCTCTAGAGGTCCCTTCCAACCCCATGTGATTCTATGATTCTATGATAATAAATTATAAAAATATGCAGAAATTTGAACAATGTAATATGATGGACCTAACTTCAAATGCATAAGCATCAAGAAACATAAACACTTACATTCACTGTCACTGGGGCTTCAGGTATGGGCCTGCTTCCAATCAACACCAGGACTGGCTGAATTTGCAGTCCAACTAACAGCATGTACAGCTAACTCTTACTTTAACCATCATCTCTCTTTCTGGATGTACTATAAGGAACATATTCTTTCATTTGCCCGCCTGAGAAAAAAATGTATTTGCTGACAGAAGAGTTTCCTAACTTTACCACCATACTAAATATAGTGATTCAGCTCACACTACAGTTGCTAAGACAATCCTTATTTCAGGTAAGTATTAAAAATCAATACTTCCAAGACTCAAACGTCTATGGCGCAGGCTAGGTCCTCTACAATTTCTGCTGGGCAACAGGAAGCTGGAAGAATACAGAAACTTCAGTAACTGTAAAACGGAAGCACCTAAAATTAGCCTCACGGACTCCACAGGGTTCATCTTTCCTCTATGGATCCCTGCTCAGCAGAATATAAACTGCAGTACCAGAGGGGTTCCATCAAGCTGGAAGTTGATATTCTCCAGGAGAGTGTAAGAGGAATTAAAGCAGTTACATGGATACTGCACTAGCCCATGGACTGCACTAGCACCCTCCTCACCAGCAGTATCACCAATATTTAACTCACAGGAGCAGACTGCCCAGGAAATTGGTCAGTTCAAGCACAAGGTGACTCAAGCTGTGGATCCACAATCTGCTGAAGTCCATAAAATACAACACTTTCAGTCCTTCTCCTTCTTCCAGCATCTCTACATCCTTTTTCATGACACAACGAGAAAGGAGCATTTCACATCTCTCGTTCTGACTCAGCTGGATCAGCTTCCTTGCCTGGCTGATCTCTCACTTGGGTAAGGAATGAGAAAGAACAGTGTAAGGAATACCAGGAATAGTTGAACATTAAGTTCTCAGAGTCCTCACTCCAGAGTCTTCCTCTCAAAAATAAAAAAGTGTGTGTGTATATATATATACCCACATTCTAACAAAAGCACTTAAAATACTGACCAACATGCATGAAAAATAACCATTGTACACCCATTAAATTGTGCTTCAGGAATTCTACCCAGTGCAAACCTGTGAAACTGACCTACAGGCTATGCACATATACGTACGACCACACTTAGAGAACAGAAAAAAAAAAAAAGTCTCTTGTCAGGCACAAAAAAAATTCATACGGCGGTATTAAATTTCATAAGCAGATGTTTTCATGCCCACTGTTAACCAATTTGTTTCAGTAAGCGAGTGGAAAAAAATAAAAAAAAAGATATTCATTCATTCTTTGTATGTATGCTTTACTTCAAAGAATTCCAGGAATCTATTGTAAATCTAAAAATCTCCTCAGACACCACAGCACATTGTTCCCCAAAGGAACAGTGGGTCAAATTCAAAGTACCAGCAATAGAGTTGCATTCAGAACTTTTTCTATAGAGCCTGGAATGGACAAAACCTCCAAAGTCAGCGCTGAGTCTTCAGGGGAAAAAAAAAATAAGGTTGTGAACTTAAAAGAAAAGAGACCAACAGATAAATCCCCACTGAGTAATTATAAGGAGAAGCTCTCCCAAACATTAGCTAACTAGTACATAAAAGGCAATTCAGTAAAAACCATGGTTGAGTCAAGTAGCAGATTAACATATAGTCATAATTGGCTACAATCACTGAAAAAGCAATCTGAAGAAAACAGGCAAAATGCAGGCACCGGTGAGAAAACTCCAATAATTAAAGGTATTTCAGAAAAGCAGACAGCACTCTGAGCGTGCACTATGCTTCTGAAATGATGATGCCCTTGTCCACCTCCAGCTGCTCGGTACTGTTGGCCTGCTGGAAGTTTTCATCTCATTCCTAACGCCTACCAGCATCTGCTAACCTATTTCAGACAAAAAGAGTCAGGTCAGCTCAAATGCTATAAATGTTACACGTGTCTTAACCCACCCTGTTTTGACCGAGGCGGGCTGGGCAGTGCCCAGACTGACACCGAGGGTGGCACATGGGACCTCCAGGAGACACGGGCAACAAGTTACCAGCAGAGACCTCAGCAAGGGACACAGCCATCACCCGGGGCTTCTCTCTAGAGCTACCTGTGAACACCAGTGCCCTCGTGAGCAAAGAATGATTTTTTATTTTTTTTTTGAAAGTGAAATAACACGAAACATTCCGAACACCAGATCCATTCAATTCCAAACCCAGAGAAGCACAGAAAGACATGCTTCCTGTATTTTACAATGGAGTCATTCTGTGACACCCTCTAAGCCGTTAAGTATCTTCTGTTGCTAAGATTTCAGTTTTCCCTACACAAGAGCATTTTTACCTTTTCCTACATAATTACAAAATACCTAATTTTAACACCCCGCGGGCGTTCTCTAACCAACATGCTATCATCAGGCAGCTTTACCATGGGTAGCACAGCGCGTTGCCACCCTCCTTCACCCACAGCCTCATTAACCATTCCAATAAAGTATGAGTGATTACTAAAAGTTCCCCACCTTTTTTGCTGTACTAGGGGTATTTATGCTTCCTTATGGGCAAATATCATCATGACCCTACTCTTTACTGTGCCACCAAACCACTGTGCAGTTAAAACCAAAGATACCCAGTTAGCATTGTAATTGCTGTTGTCATGGTTTGGCCTGGCCTGGCCACTAAAATGAATGACAGATGCTCTCTTTTACCTCTCTCCTCCTCAGAAAAAGGGAGAGCATCTTGCTTCAGAGCAGACAGAATGAAAGAGAGACTTATGAGTTGAAAAGAAACTAAACTACTTTAATGAAATTTCAATAATAAAATAAGAGAAAGAGAATAGTATCAGTAAGAAAATAATGGAATATATACAATATAAACAAAACTAGTATTGAGCTCCCACGTTACCAGCAGACATTGGGAAAATCCTAGACTGGACTTGGTGATGGATGGGAACTGGATTCAGGAACACACGGATTGGGATCAAAGGCAGAACGATGGACAGAGTCCTCCTCAGACAGTGAAGAATATTAGGCATGATGTAGATGGGATGGAATACCCTTTTGGTCAGTTTTGGGTACCCTGAACTGTCTGCTCCTCCTCGCAGGTGTGACCCCCTCTATGCTTTTCTGCTTCCCACCCTCAAGTTGGTGCATAACAAAGTTGGCTGACCTTGGTCATTATTGTAATAAGTGTAAGGAAGAGCCTCTCTCCAAACCATTCCTTGGCATTGACCATGAACACGGGTCTTATCACCCCCAGGGCAAACAGTTTTCTGCACAATATGCCATTAATTTCAGAGAGTTAGAAGAGGCCTAGCTAAAAAGTAGAATTACTGAACAGAAAATCCGTTGTGTTTTACCTCAAAACAGGACAGCTGTCGACTCTATAATACCTCTTTTGCCAATGATGGTGTGTCCTGACCAAGGTCTGGTACCTGCTTATTCAAAGTTACTACCTCAGCCAAAACTTCATGCAGAAATTAGTGTAAAGGGGATGCTGCAGATCGTGAAGACTTCTTTAGCTGGCCCACATGAGGCTGAGCAGCTTGGCTCATGTAACACCGCAGCTAAAAGACAACTACCTGGAAGGAAAGCAGTACATTCTCTGTCAAAAGCTTCAGTATTGAGCTCAGGAAGAAAAAAAGCAGCCAACATTTGGTTAAGAAGCAAAGCAAAGCAGGAGGCTTTTTGAAAGGAAGTACAGAGGCGCAACATCTGGTGTTTTACAGCAACACGTTCTGAGTTATCGCATTGCCAAACCAAAACAAACCAGCCGTAACAATTTAAACTAAACAATTATCTCACTACATTTACGTCTGGGCAAATTCGGCAACGAAAAAGTATTTCGTGCAGCTCTCTAAGCTGCCAGACCAGCCGTGACAAACTTCACTCCCCAAAGAAGTTTTCGGCCACGTACAGGCAGGAGAGCAAAACTCAGGAGGAAAATTACCACCGGGGCCGGGCTGTGTTAATAAGTCAGGATAATTACACTCAGGTAGTGACTTTTTGTCAGGCAGGGCTGCAGGGAGAGCCCAGGTAAGAGGGAGAAACCCACACGCCTGGTGGTGTGACAGCACCACGGAGCCGCGGCAGCCGCCGCCAGCGCACGTTGAAGGGAGAAAAATACAAGACAGCTTTCAAATTATTCAAAAAACTAGAAATTATTGCCGCTACCCCCCATCTCCGGCCCGTTTCCGTGCGGAGGGCAGCTCAGACACGTGGAGCGGGGCGAGGGTGACACTCGGGCCGCCTCCCCCGTCCTCCCCCCCCGCCCCGACACAGCGATTTACACGGGTTTTATCCACTTTTAAACCCTCTCCCGCCGCGCGGAGACGCCGGCAGCCGCCGCCGCCCGGCTGCAGGCCTGAGGCGGCCCGTAGGCCCGGCGCCTTCTCCCGGGGCAGGGTTCTGAGGGGATGGCGGAGGCGGGGGGGGAATTACAGGGACGGCGGTCACCGCCCGCTCGCCGCGGGACCAGGCCGGGCCGCCCGCCCCGGGCCCACCCG